GGAGTCTATCCATATAGCTTAGCTGATTGCATAAAAAAGCAAAAAAGAAGCACAATCCTTTCCTTATTTTGTGTTTTGTGTGATGAGAATTCCGCTCCACTGTCTTCTACATGTAATTCGCTTCTAAAATGCTGAGTTTATATTTAGCTGTACTTTAATGGGGCAATCTATAATACGTTTCCTTCATGCACTTCAGCAAGTGGCTTGTTACAGTGAGATTGATGATTTCAGAAGACCAATCTCAAGTCTGAGTTTATCTAAAAAGCAAGGCCAATAACAGTAGTCACTGTGATGTATTTACTTTGCAAGTGCATTTTACTTGCATGCAAAATAAGGAAAACACACAGTATATGTATGATTATAACTTAATTTACCTACTATTTATCTGAATTAGGATATCCTAGGATCTCAAAAAGTGTATTTTTTACCAAAGTGTATTGGTAACAAAATGTACTGCATTGTTCTCACGGTTATACTAACTGTTTTTAACTACAGAATTTATGGTTATGTTCCAGTGTTATGTTCCGGCTATCTGGTGACGCAGATCTAATTAGTTAAGGGTTGATTCTATGCATATGCTGTACTTTACGTCCTGTAGTTGAGATATTAAATGAAAAAATGAATACAATGTGAGTAGAGGAATTACTTGTTACCCTGTGTCTTTCAAGTTTTTCTACTTGAATGTAGGGAATTACATTTGAAACACAATTGTTTTTCTGTTTTATTTTCTCTTAATAACAAAATAGCCTCTAGAAATATGTTTTCCCCATTCAGGGAATGAACAAGTTAGCCAAAAATAGTTTAGCACAGAAAAATGTATTAGTCATGTTTGTCATGTTAATGTGGAGAGACTTTTGAACTGCAGGATGGATTACTTTTTAGACAACACAGAATTTTCTGTGCCAAAGACGTGGAAAATCTATTTTCTCTCTGCTGCATGGGGTGACATTAATTCAATAAACCTCTAAATGTTTTTTTAAACATTGTAGAACAAAGTGTATTTCAATTAACAAAGCTAAGGTCAGGCATGCGTGTCAAACTAGTCTTGATTGAGAATTTTCAACTTCTAAATATACAACTCTGAAGGTGTTCCTAGCCTTTACAATCACTTTAAAGGCTTGTCAGTGAATATTACATTTCATTTTACACTAGTTTACTGTTTGATGTTAGTTTTCATGTTAGAGGGAGTTTTCAGAAGAAAAACAGAAAGAATGGTTTTGTAAGTGTAAGCTTAGAGAACTGGAGGCAGATTTTTGAAAATGTATATGTATTTCTATCCATACAATATGAATATATTTTGGATTTGTTGTTTCTGTATGTGAACAGAAGGTGACACATTAATTATTGAGGATTTAAAAATAACCTTTACCTGTATCTTCAGTCTGTAATGGAAAGACTACAGAAAAGTACAGGTTACTTTTCAAACATTTTAAAAGATCAAATTAGATAGACACCTTCTTTTCAGCATCAGATTGTGTAATCAAATGGAACATTTTATATTTTTAAAACAGCTCTTTGAACTATCGGAAGATGAAGATGCCTGACGAAATGATGTTCTAGTTGGCAGTTTTAGACTATAAACTAATTATTTGCCTGAAAGGAGCAATCAAGGTTTTGTGTAGATCAGGGTGATGGATTTCAGAGATTCTGGCATTGACTTGTAAATACAAATAATGCTAATTATGGTGTAAAACGGACCACTGTACAGCAAGTTACCAAATATGATGGTCTTTTCAGGAGTTTCTAGTTGCTACAGTGATCCACTTGTTGTGGTTGATGACTTCACGACACTACATTAATCAGGTCCTGGGATCTCATTTGCTGCTCTTCTTGACATGAGAACGTTCCAGCAGGACAATACATGCCCTCATACTGCCTACAGAAAAAAAAAAACAGTTTTCTTGCAAAATATGACGTGTGACATTTACGCTGTGAATCTCACGACCGTCAACAGACCTGAGCCTTACTGAGCAACTTTAGGATGATTTGTGGCCTCTAGGACTCCATCTGCATGTGCTTGCAATGTAACTTTCAAGTAGACCCCCAGTTGATCAATCATGTGTGATGATGGATGTTAATCAACATAATGAATCTGATCATTTTAAAAAACGTTTTTTCCTAATACCTTTTGAATCATAGTAGTGCACTTTTATAGTGTTAATAGATATTAATATATAATAAGTGTATTTTCAGTATTGGAGCAGAGAGACCATTATGATCACGCCTGGAATGAAGGACTATTTTCTTTTATTCAGAAGACAGACCCGAAATTAGCTTCCAACTAAAACGGCGACTCTTCTGAATTCCCAGGCACCTCCACGCTAGTGGTCATTGAGGGACAAATCTCTTCTCCTGTTGGCACTAACCCTCATGCAAGTCTCCACGGAGCTTATAGCATCTCTAGAAATGAATGGACTCGTGATGGGTGCTCTTGCTCATTCTGCTAGCCCATCTTGGACTGAGGTGTAAAGATAAAATTGGTGAATTGAATGCACATATAGTAAATTTATGTATAAATTAATTGATTCTTACATAAAAAGCCTCAAAGAATGTATAATATTGAGCGTATTTAGAAAACCAGAGGAAACTGATTTGGAATTGACATTTTTTGGCATGGCAACAATTTGATACTAATTTCTTTCTTTTGGGGGGGGTGGATTTTTTTTCCCTTACCTTCATTTGTCCTTATTAAACCGTTTAATTGCACCAGTGTCTACAGCGGGGCTCTTTGCCAAAATTACTTGTGTAATGTCTGTAGAAAGCCTTTACTTTGCTCTCTTGGAGCTGTTCTGATTGCAGCTGACATCACCGAGCAATTAAGAACGGTATGGAAAGGGAAATCAATCAGTATAATGAGTGGCTTAACAGAAATAGCTTTCATGCAACAAGATGACCCCTTTCTTAATTTTCATATAGCAGAAATTACTAACATATTGTGACCAAGGTCTTGATTTTAGAATTGTCAAGGACCCAGGGAACTAAACATACGTGGTATAGATCTTTAACCTTAGTCTGAAATTGTGGTTTTCAGTACGGTATGTTTCAACTTGTCATAGACATTGTTTTAATATGAATATTTTGCAGTTCAGTAGAAGGTCCGTATTAGACTGAACATTTTCCAAATCTGTATACATGCTATTTTTTCAGCCCCATGATTTAAGATTTCAATGGGAGTAGACACGAGGAAGTTGTGCAGCAGAGAACCAGTTCACCTCTGTAACGGTAATTGGATCGTATCCTGAATTTTAAGCAGGACCAAGATCTTTATAATTGGCCTAGACATATGGTTTCAGGACAGGAATCTTAATTCTGATTAATTTGCTTTTTTCTCTTGCTTTTTGTAAATGCAACGCTGGTTTTAGATAAAGTACTATCCCAGACAGTGGGAGCATCGTTATTACAGTCATTACTTCTGAGGCTGTTGTGTTCGTTGGTGTGTTTGTTCGTTGCTTTAGTGAACAAGTATTCAAAAAATCAGATTGTTTTAATTAGTTAACAGGAAGTGATGAAATATACAGTATATATATACAGTCTGTGCTGAGATCGAAATTCCATGTGTTTAATTATAATGAACATTCCCTGCGAAGGGATAACAAAGTATAATAGGCATCCATTTGTAATCACAAATCTACTTTGCTGCAACAAGACATGGCACATGGCAGAAGGACAGGGTGCAGGGTGCAGTAAAAGAGATTTCATGTAATGAAGGGGCAGTTTGAGATATCCAGTCAAGTCACACCTAACCAGCTTGTATTTGGGGAAAAGAAGCCATGACATCTGGATAAAAACCTTTCACACATGCGGAGATAGCAGATAACACACAAATGAGCCTGGAGATGCGAAACAGAACTGCTGACAGGCACTTTAATATAATAATACAATTTTGCAAGTTTAAATGGAAAAAAAGGCATCCCAACTCTTTATATGTACAATATATATACAGTATACAATGCAGAAAACAACCCTGTTTACACATTTCTGAGCAGAATCACATTTTTCTACATAATTTTAATATATTTTTATCTGGAGAAACTGTTGAAAAATCATTTAATAATGTGTTAACTTTGCTTGAGGGCTTAATAAGTGCAACCCATTAATTAAGACAGAATTTAATAGTCACGATTATTATGGCTTCTGCATATTGATGAGGAATGTGTCAGATAATAGGGAATGTTTTATTCTCTGGGAAAAAAAACCTCTTTAGTTCTGAAAGCACTGTCTGTTTCAAGAAAAAATAGTAGCTTGTGATTTCCCCTAAGATAAGTGTACCAATAAAAAAAGTTTATTTTGAAATTTTGATATAACTGAATGTTATGTATGCACAAATGTGTGACATTTTAGGAATAGGACTCAGGTGATGTTCTCACCAATTACAACAAAACAAAATAAGTACTGTATGAAATGGTTAAAGTACAAGTGAACCTGTAGCTTAGAACTTTTAAAATATAAAAAATACAAAGGTCAAGCTAAAATTAGACATAATCAGAAGGATGGTTTTGTGCTTTATACTGAACATAACAGTGAGACCGCGTTAAAAAATAAGACGATGAATTACTGTAAACTGAATTATACACTCGTAGTTGGTTAACTGTGATTTGTTCAAATGGGGTACTTTTTTTTGTTGGATGCACCCCACCCTTTGCTGATGGAAATTTGAGGTGCTTTCTCAGATTCTGAAATGGTAAAACTGTAGGTGATGTTTCTTGCACTTTGAGAGGTTAAAGCATGGATAATCACTTGTAAAGTTTCGTTATGAAATTCACCCGACTCTGAAAGCAGAAGTGTTTCTACTTTTCTTTAGATGCCTAGCACAAGCAAATATTTTTGTAAGCTTGATAGCAGAATTGTCTGGCCAAAAATGTAGACGATAAGATCAAGAAAAAATATGCATTTGGAATGAGGGTGTAAAATACCTGTTTTTGTGAATGCTGTAAATATTTCTATGCGAATAGTTTGCACAAACCAAGTCAATTCCCTGCTTTTTCCCCCCCTTCCAAAAGAGCATGATGAGTGTGGAAGTGGGCAGCACTCCTGTGACGACAATGCAATCTGCACCAACACCATCAGAGGACACACCTGTACCTGCAGGCCTGGGTTTGTGGGCAATGGAACCATCTGCAGAGGTAGGCACAGCAATGGAGGGATCTTTTATCCTCAGACCTCACTGCTCTGCCAATTAAAAGCTTGTCATGCATGGAAATTGTGAAGAGTTACAACAGGCTGGTGGTGCATCAGCCTTCCTCTTATTTATCATCATCTGGCAGGGGTATGCAGAGAGATGATGAGAATTGATTTTCGTATAACTTCTGACCCTTGGAGAGCAGCTCATGAAACGGGCCTGCTTGTTTTCTTCAAGTCACACATCATATTTTATAGTTTCACATTTGAAGCGTGTGATGTGTTGCAGTGATTTATTTATTTTTTAGTTAACAACAATGAGAAGCAATCAGCTTGTCAAGGTGAGTGGTATTGCTTTCATATGCATTCGTATTTAATTCTGGGTGCTCTGTGAAGTGACCCTGAACAGATAAAAGTGTAATATCTTGACAAAAAAGTGGAATTGGAAAAAATAAAGGTAGAGTTATAAAATATTTTAGTGCTTAAAAGGTTTGTAAAACCTGTTTTGTAAGAACCAGAATAATACAGTATTTCACGCTTAAAAGATGCTTCGACTTGTTTCACAGTTTAACGTTTTAAAATCATTCTGGGGTGCTGTCACACTGTAAATGTATGTGAAATAAGCTCTGGTTATCCTTTTTTAATCAAGTAGGCTGTCTGGGCTTTATCCATATTATTAATTTCTTTTAAAATCTGCTGACTTTTAGGGACCTTTGCTTGAAGAACTTTGATTAGGTCAGTCTTTGTAAAACAAGTTCACGATCCTAACCAATAGTAATTGTTGAGCTGGAGCTGTGGATTTAGAGATGATAATAGAGATACAAATTAAAATGTGTAGCAGGTGTATGTTGGGTCTTCTGAGAGATCAATGCAATTTGCAAAGTGCCTTCCAGACAATTTGTAAATTGGATTGTTTCCAACCCTTGAAGCACAATAATGTGTCTTCAAAAAAAGTGGTATGCAAACTTTCTTGCTACATCCACAGTTTTACATGAATCCTCATTTGCAAATAATAGAATTTAAAAGTAGTTGGTTTTACTTGGAAGAAATATAGAAATTCTTATCGACTTCAGAGTCTGGAATTTGACATTTTCCCTTAAGGTATTTGCATAAGTATAAAATAATTTTTAGTTCAGGCAAGCTCCTGAAATTTTACTCAAGAATTTGAAGAAATAAAGAAACTCTTGTATAGAAGTGCTACCAACTTAAAGGTAAATTTACTGTACACTGATGTCCAACTCTTTCACTGTTCTGCACAAATTATTGCTGACTCTCTGTGGTCTGCAGTTGATCCTAATCCAGAACATTATTTTCAGGGATTCTTTTAAAACCAGTCTTATGACCTCAACCTACTTGAACCTCTGAAGAGATGTTATCTCTATCACGAAGGATACAATCCATTACTTGTGGAATAGGCCAAGCACAAAATAACCCTTACAAACTAGCTTTGGTCTTATCACCATTAAGCCTTCTTTGTGCCTGAACGTTCCATTTTGCTCATAGAAAATTAAAATCTGTAATGGCTTTATCCCCTTTACAGTATATCACATTTGGAATGTCCAGTTTATAGTCAACAGGGTGTGCTGCTGCAGTTCTGAACTAATGAGCGCACAAGAAAGACGCAAGCACCAGTTTTTCGCAAATGCAGTACAGAATACTAATAAGGGAATACAGTATGAGCTTCATCCTGAGGACAGAGTGAATCCAGGAAGCGTTAACGGAACAACCTGAGAACTCCCAAGCCAGCCCTACCCCACTCATTTTTAATTTTACAGAACATGATCTGGCATTGCAGATTGTGGCTCCATCCACAGTAGCTTCAGACTGCCAGCATCTTGGATTTATTGTTTATTCCATAAAGTGGGCAAAATATTTAACAGAATGATTCAATGAAATGAAGTCCGTTAAGCTTGGTTTTCATGGCGTTATCTGGGCCGTTCTTCTTTTTGATTTACTTTACCCACTTGTTAAAATACTGATATAAAGTATAATATGCAATGGACAGGCTAAAACGTGCACAACACTGACAGATTTAGGCACATCTATCCACTCTTAGACTTTTCTTTGGGCCCCAGGGACATCATTAATATATAGACTGTAGTACACAATCTGTTTCTTGAATCATGCAGTAATATCCACAATATTGTGATGTATTTCCTTTCTTTTAGAAAAAAAGAGAACTCTGAGATTTAGCAGAATATTTTCCTTGGGTTTTGTGTGTTTCAGCAGTTCTTTGACATGTTTATTTTGATACCCCCCTGGAGTAATCCAAAATGATGTGTTCAGCCAAAAAAAATGGCCAATACATTTTTTATTACCTTGCAATACAGTTATGCAGTGAGATCAAGCTTAGGGATCATGTAGGTTCAAAATAAAGGAAAGCTGTTGTACGTAACAGTTTTGTTAGTTCTGTTCCTTGAGTTTGGAAGATGTCAAGATCTGATGCATTCTTAGGAGGTACAGTAATTCATTATACTGTGAAAGCCCTCAAACCAGATAGACTAGTAGAATTTTATAGTTGTACACAAGATAATAATCATGCAAATAGCACAGCAGGTAGTGTCTCTCTAGTTGCTGTGAATGTGTTTGTTAAATACGGTGTACATGGTGTTTAATACTTTACGTGACTTCCCTTATACAGTGTACTGTATATAGCCTTTAAAAAATTATTTGGTACTATGGAGTGGTGTAGGCATTAACTCTTCTTGTGGTAGTTCAGATTGCCAATATTTGTTGTGACTCCTGATTGATTGGAATGTGCTTTCTAAACCGTTTTACAAAAAATGTAAATTATATCCCTGGAAACAGTAGAAATGGCAAATATCGGCGATCCTCTGAAAAGATAGGATAAGTCAGGACACAAAAGGAAAACAAATAGTCTCTATAGAATGTGGTTTGACAGTGAAGAGTAATATATATATATACAGTAACTACCATAGAGCATAATGCATAGTTATTCTGTTCTGTGCTCACTTATTCTGCCTTAAAGATTTTTTGGGGTTTGTTTTCTTGAGTCACTCACCAAGATCGATGTTGAAAGCACAAAAGATTTGTCCAGGTTTATTTGGACCTACTGTACCATACTTCAAGTTGCAGTGAAGAGATTTAACTGTTTTTTCTTTTAGGTAGATGAATGCCTGTTTTATCAAACATCTAGGTACAGCTAGAACTTCTAGGTACAGCTAGAACTTCTATTTGTAGTTAAAAATGTGAAGAATGCTTTATTATTCAGTTAGCTTTATCCTTAATATTTGAATATATATGTTTGAAAAATTCTAAACGAAAGCTATGACTAGAACAAGAACATTGAAGTACAGTATAATTACAGGAAAATTCATTTAACTGAATGTCGTGCACAACCTGCTTAGATTACAACACAACTATTCTTCTACTGTATATATCCCTTATAATACAGTAATATAAACCCTCACAGTAAAGTATGTGTGCAAGTGTTGTGTGTTCATATATAAACTGTAATTCAGTATGGAGACATAATTAAAAGTGTATATGTGCAATATGTGAATAAATATATGAGTGTGTTCTGAAATAGAATATTCCCATTCTGCACCATTCCGTTTTTTCCAGCCATAGCCACTAAAAACGAATCGCCCTCCAGAATTTTACACTGTGTAAGTAAGGTTGCTGTATGCATTTGTTCGATTAACCTTAGGGTTCCTCTTTCATACACTGTTATGTAAACATGACAATGTAAGCTGTCAAATGGTTGTTGAAAATGAGTGGTCTCCACTGACAGAACGGATCTTACTTTATTGATCTTGAAAACCAGGGGAAGGAAATAAATGAATGTGGAGATAAGGTCCCTTTTCTCCTCTTTACTTTTACAATTCAGGCCATTTATCTAAGTAACTTTGATCCAGTGTGGACTATGAGACAATTACATAAACACACTCTGCCTAGCTAACAATAAACAACTGGATGAAGTTCAATTAAAATGCAGCAAAAGGTTATGGATTGGTATAGTCAATATTTTAACTTAACGATAGCAATGAACTGTAAATCCCTTTGTCAGACATACAATAGCAGGGCTTATCTTGTTAATAGTCTTTTTCAGAGGGCAACTTGTTTATACAAAAGGTTTTTGTTTAAAAAATAATTTGTGCAGGTGTGTACTGTGGTTTAAGTGGATTTGAGAAAACAAAGGGGTTATTCATCTTACGCTCTCCTTCTCCAACAGTGCAGTTTCTTTGTTTAATTGTTTCTCCCAGTTAAAAGTGTTATCTCGGTGGTTATAGAAGACCGCTTCAACAAGTACCTCGTCTAATTATTTTCAATGATCCCTGTGGTACTTGTACAACCTCATTTCCATTTCTTGCTTGACACAACAGGAAACAGAACAGTTAATGCTGTAAAAGGATGGAATAAGACATCTTGCATCAGGTATTGGTATTTCAGAATGGCTAAAATTCATTTTCAACAAAAATTGATTCCCAGTTCTTGTTTGAACGTTTCTGTATTATTGGCCAGAATGATGTCAGTGGTCGGCTGCCATCAGTATCTCCGTCTTGCTATCTGAAACATAGATAAGATAAGATCACTTTATTAGCCGTATACAATTTCTTGCATTAGGAATTTGTCTTTTCGCATACCCCAGCTCGCTCTCTGTGAGACACAGACACACAGACGAGGTGAGAAACTTGGGGTCAGAGCGCAGGTCTGGTGTCCCATTCATTTAAAAATCAAGACAGAAAAGTTCACGGAGACATTAAGAGCTTATAAAATTAGGAGTACCCGAATAGAAAGAATTTTGACTGATGTGATAAAATTACTGTTTTAAAACTACTGTACATCCTCTGATGGACCTGGGCACATCTTTTTTTTCCCTGGGGTCACTGGGTGTTTTGGGTCTTTCAACATCAGACAATCTCGCGCAGGCAGCCCAGTCAAGGTTGGTCAAGCCCAGCATTGTTGCCCACGATCACTCCTCTTGATCCATAGCCATCCTGAGGCTCTTTCTACAGCCTCTGCGGTGGTTTTGATGGGTGGT